AGTTAGTACTAATATTCTCTAGAGTACTACGGAAGCTAATATTTATAAGCGACCCGCCGGCGGCCCTCTTATAGGCTAGAGCTTTGCCGCTAGGGGTTACCTTATTCTTATTAGTATAGAAGGTAGAGAGCGTAGATAGGATAACTAATATTAAGGTTAGTATACGATATATAAGCGGAACGTATAAGAGACCTATAGGCAATTAGTACGTCTAGATCGGCCTAGAGAGCGGCTAGAGCTTATATAAGTTGTATTTATCTATATCGTATAGGTCGCGCGCTAAGCGTACGGCGCGAATACGCGCTAGTAGCGATACTAGTAAGCGGGCTATAATAGGCATATAGAGATAGTAGCTATCGCGGTAGCAGTTATAGTTATACTTAGTAGTAGGATCTATACTACCGCCTATAGAAAGTATAGTTAGGTCCTCTATAACGAGGTAGTTACGAAGCGTAAGTATATTATAAGTAGCGAGAATACGTACTATTAGTCGTAATATACCTAAAGTAGCGGATATAGCCCTCTAGGACTTTTAGTCGGCGCTAGGTAGGCGTAGTAGGTATCGTAGGAGCGGCGCCTATAGCGCGCTTACCTATAGTATAAGAAGGAGTAGCTATACTAGTAATGCTTTTAATAGATAATCGAAAGAGAAAGAATTACTAAAGTAATACTAGGGGAATATAAGATATAAGTAGATAGGGCGTAGGTAGGTAGTATTCGGAGCGATAAGAAAAAGAATAAGTCTTTAAGCGGGCTTTAGATACTTTTAATACTCGTCTCGCTTTTAGATAGCTTATAGTCTCGCGTAGCTACTATATTATTAGAAACTTAGGTAACCTTTAGCTAGTACTAGAAGTAGCCGTACTTCGAATCCGTAAAACAAATAGCAACTACGAGACAGATATAACGTACCTAGCAACCGTAGCTTAGCGGTACGCGATACCTATATAGAGCGTAGAGTATAAGAATAGTATACCTTACTATACTACCCTATAGCTAGGATAGCTATATCTAGGGCAGGAGATAATTATAAGAATCTAAGTAAGAAAAGTCTTCTATCCTACCTTAGTAAATCTTATATAATAGTTATAAATTATTTTTATATATATAATAGTACTAATTCGCTAGCGCGAAGCCTATTTAGCGTATACGCGGAAATGCCCGGTAGCTCGTATAGAGATACTTAGTAGCCGGCCCGATAGGTATACTAGCCGTATAGGGCTATCGTACTTAGTTAATAGGAAACGATCTACCCTATTCTTAGAAAGGTATAGTTTATCTCTACTATCTACTACTACGATTAGTAGAGAGATTCTATATAGTGCTATAGATCTATTTTCTAATACTTAGACTAGAGGGGCTAGTTAATAGAAGCTAGGGACTTCTACCTCCTTTATACCTCCCCTAGTATCCTAGATCTTCGCTAGTCTATCTAGATAGACTCTAGTATACTAAGCTACCTAGAGCTCTTTTTATAGTACTATCGTTTAATATTATAGTAATTCTTAGTAAATAGGTCCTATAGACTAGGCGGTAGTAGTTACTAAGTAGTTAGTCTATACTACTACTATTACTATATCCCTTTATTCTTAGCCTTCTACTATTTACGAGGTAGTCGGTCTTCTTCTTTTAGATAAAGAGTTTTATTATTATAGCGCTCGGAAGGATACGAGCCTAAATAGTAGGCGTACTTCTTATAGTTAGATTTGTAACTATTCTTACTATTCTAGTTGTTCCTATCGCGGCCTCGACTACTATTATTATTTCCGCCGTAGCTACTACGACCGCTATAGTTCGAGTTACCTCGACTATTACTATTACCGCCTTATTATAGTAGCTAGCGCTAAAGACTAAAGAAGCTATTATATTAGGCCTAGTTTAATTAAGCTATATTCTTATTAAGTAATACGCTAATAATATTATTAAGTATTCTATTATTAGTAGTATATTCTAAGGCACGTATTTGCTTATAGCGCATTTATACAAAAGCCTCGGAGAATAGAGTAATCTATAATAAATATATAGATAGCTTAGTATTAGCCAATAGCTAGCTTAGTGTACTTTAAGGCACTAAGCTTCTTCTTAATATCTTATACTTATTATAGAGCTTCTTAGTATTATTACTACCGTAACTAAGGGTAATATAGTCCTAAAAGAGTATAAATTTAGTAGACCTACCTTTACTAGTATATTTCTTATATAGATAATCCTATACTACCTTAGAGGTATCGAGTCTAGACAACGACTACTAGATCTTAGATATGTAGTTAGCGAATATCTACGTATAAGCTAACTAGTATCTTGCCTTCGATTTACCTTAGTAGTTATTAAATTTAGTCTAGGTCTTAGGCGATAACCTAACTTTAGGCTTTAGGCAGGTCTCTTAGATATAGCGTTATACCTATATAGCTTTAAAGGTACCTTTAGCGGTATATGCCTGTGCTAGGTAGTTCTCCTTATTCTTTAGCTTAGGAATAGTGCTTATATAAGCGTTTAGTATAGGGGTCGCTATTATAGATAGTAATAGTAGCGATAGTAAAGACGAAAGAGACTATAGACTTGTCTTAAGAGGCCGCCGATAGGCGCTCCTATATTATATTCGTATAGCGGATACTAATACTAATATTATAGTAACTAACCTGAGCCGAGCTAGTACTTACTAGAATACTCTAGAGCGGCGAGGGTAGTAGCGACGATAATAGTATCGGCGTAATTTTTAGTAAAAGGCGCTAAATACGTAGTAGTCGGATTAACTATTAGAAAATATAGTAAATGCATTAGAAACGTAGGGAGCTTATAGCTACTTAAGATATTACTATTAATATATTTAGAAAAGGGCTAATTTATAGAAAGCCTAAAGATTAAGTATATAGTTATAGCCTTAGGTATTATATACGTAATAGAGAGCTATATATATATTAAGTTTAAGGTTCTCTATTTCCTTTTAATATGGCTAAACGTCTAACATTAAAATACTAAATTCTTTAACTTACTATTAAAAGCTTATTAATAAAAATAAGGAAGACTATATAGCTAAATTTAAAATAAACTGCTAGTTATATACTTTTTTCTAAACTTTACTAGGCGTATTATTATTAATAAATAAAACTTAAAGAGAAAGATATAACAATAATAGCAAAATACTATTAAATTATATTATTTCTTTTTAAAAGACCTAAATTAAATAGTAGTTTTTAATATATCCTAATATTATAACTTATATATAGATTAAATAACTCTCTATTTTTTACTTCTTTAAAAGTATACTTTACGAGCACTATAAGAAAAAAGTCCTAATAAGTAAATATAGAAAAGCTATAATAAAAAGAATATAGAAAGATTTAAAAACTAATAGAGGTACTCTCCTAGTATTAATCACCTGTTTTTGTAAATATTATTCGAATTTAGTATAGACTATCTCTACTATTCTTTCTATAGTTTACCAGTTTTTATTTCATATCACATAACTAGTTCCTATAGTTATACTCTCCCTATACCCTACCTATTCGCTTCGACTATACCTAGCGTTTAAAACTCCTAATAATATCCTTTCTACTCTATCGTAGTGGAGTTATAGAGCTAGCTAGACTCTAATGCTCTTCTAGGATAGAGGAGAGAAGGCGTTATATAGGGTTCTTCCGCCTTCTATCTTCCTTCTCGCGTTGTCTTAATTTTCTCCCTTGCAATCTCTTAGACCGAGTTGTACTCGATGTCCTCCTTTCTTCCCCGTCCGCGTCGTAGTCGAGTTTTGGAGCTGGCCAGACTCCATCCCTCTGAGACGGACTGAATGCGGAACTGTATACAGCTTTCCCTCCCTTCTTCCCTCCCCCGTCTTTACCTCGCCTCAATCCCTCGCTCTCTCGCTATCTCGCTGCCTCGCTGTCTTGCTGCCTCGCCCTCTCTTCCGCGCTTCTCTCTCGACCCCCAATCTTCGAACACAGACGGGATGCTCTATCCGCGTTATTGGTTGTAACAAATGCCCGGGTGCGGCACGGTGCATATGCAGGTGCGAGATATGTGTAGACATGCTTTAGCGTTTGCGAGCCTAGCATTGTATTCTTGCTCAGGCTCCATGGGATTGGACACAGGCGAAGCAGGTAGTAGGTTGTGAGACGTTGCAGGGTGTCAGCTTCTGGTTGCAGTGCCCTTGGGGCTTCAAGCCGGTCACTGGCAATCTGCATGTGCTCTGTTCTTTGAGGAGCAAATTGTGTAGGCCTTCGTGGAGCCCTGATGTGTAGCTTCGGCTTTGATGGCTGTGACAACTCATTGTGCAACCAGGTCGTCGATGGCATGTCCGAAACAATCATCTTGCAGCAAGATCAATGATATGTTCGGCATTGGTGATATGGCCTTTTGCGCCTCCTTTGGGGCTGAGATCCCAGGTCGCTTCCTGTCCTACCCAAAGGCCTGAGGCGTCCCTCACAGCCTTCAGGAGGAGATGTCGGCCCACGCCAACAACCTTGAGCGTCCTCTCGATTGTGCGGCGTAGATCTGGTTGTCTGTTGAAGCTTCTGTCGGCTGATGACCAGGGCGAGCAGGGTGCGCAGAAGAACATGGGGAGTTCCTCGTCATCGCGGATCTACGGGAATTTCAGGGGAAGTCGAGTGGAAATGACTGTAGTATAGAGAGGAGAGAAAGGGCAGGCATATGAAAAGCTACAGGTACCGCGCGATATCAGTCCGTGTCTCTCTTTCTGCGTGGATTTCTCGGCTTTGGTACAGCTCGGTTGAGTTTCTGCGGTAGCACAAGTGAAATGAGAGGAGATGGCGCGGTCAGATTCGGGCGCAGAAGAGATAGGGGGAAAAGGCGCAGTGAATTGAGACCGAAGAGAATGCGACAATGCTAGCGGTGAAGTAGGACAGCTGCCTTCATACCTGCTGCTACTGCCGCTACGTGCATGCGGCCCTAATGCTGAGTCGGGGCTACTGCATACCGATTGTTCGTCTTCGATTGTTCGCCTTCGATTGTTCGCCTTCGATTGTTTATCTTCGATTGTTCGTCTAGGTGGCTAAGTTTGATCCAGGATTCGTGAGCATTCGTGAGCGGATGTCAGCGCAATTCAAGTCCCGGACAGCGAATGTATGCAATACCGATTCATGATGAGAAGACAGGAGAGTAGGCACGAAGAAGGTGTTTGAAGAGAGAGCGTTACTTCCGATGGGATGTGGGATTGATTGTATGAACTCTGAGGTCTCACTCGTACAGATGCCTGGCAATGAGATCGTCTAAGGCTGCTGCTGACGCTGCAGATCAGCCAATGTTTCTTGCCATACGGCGGCGACTGCTGCAGCCAGCATTTCGGGTTGACCGCGCGCTCGCGCCAGCACCAATTGTCGAGCGCGCCCTTGAAGCCTCGGCCGCGGCCCGTTCTCCGCGTCCAGCAAGGTCGAGTCTTGCCTCTGCCTCGGTGCATCATTCGCCTTCTCATCCTCTTCTGCCACCGCCACCGCCGCCACCGCCACCGCCACCGCCGTCGTGACCCGCCGCGCCGCCTCCGCCAAGCCCGCGAGTGACGAGCGCTGCTCTCCCGCATCGGCATCGGTGTACCGCGCCAGCAACTGCAGCCAATCTGCTGTCGCCTCTGCTTCGACGGCGGTGGCTCTTATCGCCTGCTGCACGCGACCTTCTTGTCCTCTCCGCCGCGCATCAACACACCGCCGCGCTACGTCGCTCGCCTCGATACACCGCAGCAATCCGTACTGTTGCGCTGAATCACTACCTCCATCTCCATTGGTCAACCCGTCCCACGCTATCCTCAGCAACAGTGCCGCATCGCTCAAGTGCTGCATATACGTGCCTTCTGCTCTGCCTGCATCAGCCCAACATGTCGCCGCCTCTTCCACCTCAGCAACACACGCCTCACCCCATGACCCTTGCCCGAGCACCATCCAACCCATGTTCGCCGCCGTGAGCGTACTCCGCACCATATCCTTGACCAGCACCGTCTCCTCCGTAGATCGCAATGTCACGCTGTCCGCCTGTTCGCCGAGTTGATATGCTGGAGCCAGCACCCACTCTTCATACTGGGACTGAGTGCACGAATGCAGTGTTGCACTTGCAGGCATGCCTGCGATTTGCATGATAGGCAAACGCCGACTGGCCCTGGGACAGAACACACGGTGCACAGTGATGCAGGCTATGTCAGAGCCCAAAGGATGGAGTATGGCGTATACCATACCGGCCAGGCAGAGCAGTGCAAAGCCAAACACGATGCGACTGGTGGTGGTGGTGGTGTTGGCGGATGACATGGCATTGACAGTATCAGCATACGCTGCCTGGTCACCAGGGTGTCTGTTGCTGATCTTCATTGCTTCTTCGCGGATGGCGTCTTTCTCCATTTGCTCCTCTCCACCATGGACCAGCTGTGGCTGCGCTACATCTTGTTCTGGGAGGACGGTTTCTGCCGCACGACCGAAGGCGTGGCTAAGCACTGTCCGCCTGGGTGCCTTCTTCCGCTGTAGTGCCTCCTTCTGGTTGTTCTTCTCACCGTCGCCTATCTCGGCCTCTCGCTCTCTTCTTGCAGGGGTTGCTGCTGTCCTGCGTTGTTGAAGAGCACTGTTATTCTGCTGCAATTGTTCCAGCAGACGATCCCTATGCTCTGCGGCCAAAGCTGGAGCGAAAAGTCGACGATGAGGTGCAGGAGGCGAAACTTCCGGACTTGCTTCCTGCATACCGCCTGCGGGACGTGGGGACAGGAGGAAGCTGTAAGACCGGATGATGCGGAGTGAAGGTATGTTAAGCCAGATACGTGCTACTTTTTCGTACCGAGACGAGGTCAACAGTGGGGTACAAGAAGGCCCAAGAGGGGTTGAGAATGACTGAGAATGCTGGTAAAAGGAAACCCAAAGCATGGGGCAACAAAAGCCAGGAAAGAAGGAATGAGAACGACCAAGAATGCCGGTCAAAGGAACGCCAAAGTATAAGGAAACAAAAGCCGAGAAAGAAAACTGTGGAGATACCAAGCGTTTCTTGCCCAGTCTTTTGGCCATTTCGTAATCACCTTGAACGACGCTGCCACGACGACGCTGGCACGAAATTGTCATTCAGATTTCCTATAACGACCTTACACTACCGTACTTCCGAAGAGGGAGGAAATCATCGCGAACTTTGAACTCATACAACAAGCCATGTCCCACTCCAACTTACACTTCATTAGCATTTTCCAAGACAAATGGCGCAATGAAATCTCTGGTACTCCTCTCCGACGGCAACAAACGCGACAAGCGCTCCACACGAATGACATTATCGTCTTGATGGGTTTGCTCCCCGACACTACCACCGAGAACTCATCTATCTCTGAGCATGACTGCGACAACGCCTGGACCAAGTTTCTGGAGTGCCGATGGGAATTGCGCGAGCAATACTCCGAACACCTGAAGCATCAATTACAGACCTGGTGTACAGAAGAAATTGGTCGTGGGATGGAGGCTGAGGTCGAGATGAAGGGAATTTGGGCAGGGATGAGTTCTAGCACTGGTGGTTGGGATGAGGATATCACTGAAGACATGGCGAGGACGGAGTTTGAGAGATGGCGGGAGGGAAAATTGAGGCACGGCAGTAGAGTGCGAGCAGTGAGGTCGCGGAGTCAAGGAGATGACGGGCAGATGTCGACAAGGCGGCTTTTCGACGACGGCACAACTCAGGCAACACCATCGGCTCGCAGAAACTCTCTTCCCATGATTGCAAGGCCGATCCTCACGGCTGCCGCAAATCAAAAGTTATCTCCATCCGATGGACCTCCCCCATCACAAGAACCATCATCGAATAAACCTCTACCTAGTCCATCGCGACCGCCGTCATCACCGTCACCACCACCACCACCGTTACCTGGACCCTTCCAACGTAAACCTCCAGCGCCTCTTACCGAGGACCGCTTGTCCTCAGGCTTCCTCCCCACTCAAGTCAACACAATCTTGTCCCGCATTGCCTTCCATCTCTACGAAAGTTTCCTTGACCTTGTGGTCTGGCATCCTTTCTACTACGCCAACGTGCACCCACGACTGCTTGAAGAAATGGACCAGGTCTGGGGAACGAGTTTCGATTACGAGGAAGAAGACTGTTTAGAGAATGCGGACTGGGCAATCTCTGCTGCCAGTCGCCCTGCGCAGCAAAGTGAAAGTCTTGAGGACTCTGAGCGCCCACTTCGTTTATTCCGCGAATTGAGACATCAGCGTTCGGGACGGGTTCTGCAACAGTGGGTATGTCCGGTTGCCTATTGGATTTGTTGGTATGGGACTTTGTTTGCTCTCGGCTTTGCAGGAATTACGTCTTCTCCGGCTGCTACGGACGACCAACCTATGCTTCAGACGCGAATATGCTTGGCGTTGGGCATGACGTGGTTGATGTACTACGCCGACTCACGGGCGAGTGTCTGGGACCGGGTAACAAGGGGTCGAGAAGTGATGGCTGAAGGCTTCATTCAGGAGGAAGATTGGGATGAAAGATCGAGCAGTGACGTTGAGACTGAGGCCGATACCACCGGGGCGGGAGATGATGAAGAGAGAAGCATTGCAGGAGCAGAAGCAACGTTGAAGGAAGCACGAATATCGAACATCTGCGAAGTCGCCAGGTCGATCTTGAAATCCGACCACCCCATCCTCCCTCTCAGTCTGGAAGCTTGGATCCTCCGGTTCTTCAGATGGGCGTTCTATGCTCTTGTCTTCGGCGCTACCTTGGGCATGTATCACGTTCTCAGGTCGGCTGGCCTGAATGTCCCTGGCGCCTCTGCTGTATGGGTAATCCCTTGCTTCTTGACTCTGGCATGGATGTACCTGGATGTCGTGCAACCATTTCTCGAACCTCGCTGGAGTCATTTTCTTTCGTGGCTCAAGAACATCTCCATCTTGTCTGGGTTTGGATGGATTGGTGTGATGTGTTGCGTCGCCGTGTGGCCCATTCTTCCCACTTACACTCATTATGACGGAGTCACCTGGACCGAAGCCCCGGTCACGAATACTAGCGGCAGCGGCAGAATTGGCGGTATGTTTGCTCTAACAGCACTTCTCTTCGGCTCCAGCAACATGACTGCGGCTTCCTCGTCGCGTTCGGCAAATTTCTGCGAGGCGTTGTACGAGGCGGAATTCGGGTCCTACTATTCTCGATTATCAACGCTTACTTCAGATTCTGGATTCACCCAAGAAGAAATGGCTCTGCTCTCCAACCTTACCGTTTCGTCTTCCCAAACACTGCTCGATGCCAATTTTGAGCTCCTGCAGTTGGCACTGGAGGGCGGCGAAGGAAGTGCTAGTGCCGGCGCTCTGGGCGTGGTGATGGCGATGCTAGGCGAGCCGGCGTTACCTTTAGCAGAGCTGAACAGCTCCCACACTCCCATTCCGTCTAGGCATCGCCTGCGCAAATCACTGCTCACCATTGTTGGGCTCCGCTTCGCTATGGAGAGAGGTCTAGCAATGGTGGCCTCCGAGGCTTCCTGGAAAGCACTAGCAGAAGGCAAGCGACAAGGAATTCCTGCCAGGAATGCAAGCAGTAGCGTTGAAGAAGACATTGACGGTAGAGAAGGGCGTGACAACGATCTTGCTTTGTGGCATATAACAGATCAGTGTCTTGTCCTCGCTCTTGGGGTCCTAGAGAGGGGATCATTGATCGAGATCTTTGCAAAAGGGATTGTATAAGAGCCTTGCAAACCCGAAGACAAGCGTTTAGCAAAACTGCAATTGTCCTCTATCTCCGTTTTAGACCCTTACTATTTAAGCGTAAGGAGGTTAGTATATAGGTAGTAGTCTCTTTCTATCTACTACTACCTATACTACCTTCTACCTTCTAACTATTCTATATCGGACTGCTACGCGACTAGACCTATATACCTATATACCTAACTATACTAACCTCCTTATACTAGTAAAGGTCTAAGGACAAATATACTGAATCTGTAGGATTAGCCTTATAGATTGATACTATAAACTACTAGCTTTATATAATCCTATAAACTCGAGGATAAGATAATATAGTATACTATAAAGTATATCCGGCTTTTAGAAGGAAATTTAAAAAGATAGAACCGAGAATATTTATACGGGAATAGGTCGTTAGTAGATTACGCCTAGAGCTAGCTAGCTAGACGCGATATATTAACGCCTAGTAAATACGTAGAGGTTAGAGAGCGGCTAATTCTAAGAGTCCGCCTATATTTCCGTTTATAGTAAACGGTAGTAGTTCTATCGTAGCTAAAGCAACCCGGACGCTATTCGTATAGCGTTTTTCTTAAAGTAGTAATTTATAAATTTTTCCCTAAATTTAGAAATATATAGATTATTATATAGATATTAATTCTTATTATAATAATACCTAGTTACGACTCTAATATAATTTTTACTTAAAAGATATAGTTATTATACTATTCTATCTGTTTTGTGTTTATGTAAGGTTAATTTTATAGCTTTACGATATTTGTCTTTAGGCTTTTTATAAAGACTTCTCTTATATACTAGACTATATATAGAATATCTAAAAGTACTAATCGACGCTAAAAAATAGAAGTTATAGGCAGAAGATAGAAGATAGAAGATAGGATAGGATCTATAAAAAGAGCCGAAGAAGGAGGTAAACTATCCCCTTATTCTTACTACTATTATAGCTAGTCCTATTCTACTCGGCCTTAGTACCGCTATCGACGCTATTCTTATTCTCTCTAGCGCTATACTTATACTCGCTCTTTCTGTGTGGCTGTTATTCCTGTGTCTATTCCTACTTACGTCCTCCCTTTTACTACTTTTATAGCTATTCTAGTTCTTATCGCCTTTATTTGCCTCTATACCTAGGCTATTTTTAGTAATAAATAAGCGCTTACCGCGAGATAGATTATTTCGGCCGAGACTATAGGTATATCGGTAGTAACTAGCGGTAACGACTTTATACTAGCTAGTCTATAATTTCCGCTCGGAATAAGTAGAATAGAGTCCTCTACTCCTTTTCCCGGTTTACTCTTATTAACCGCTTTTTAGGCCCGACTATAGTAGGTAGGTCGTACTCCTATAACCTTACTTCTAGCTAGTAAGATTTCTACGGCTCGGGCTTAAGCGGCTACTATACCTCCTTCCTAGGCTATATCGCTTTAAGCTCGTAACTTCCTCTATCTTATTTCTATCTATATTTAATGCCTAGTCCCTTTATAGTACTAAGAATATAAAGGACCTTTAGTCTAGTCTTTAATAATAGGGGGTAAATTAGTACTAAGAGACCGCTACTAGACTTCTTACCTAAACTAGGAGCTACTATTAAGACGGGCTAAGATATCTACCTACTATAAAGAACAATAGCTCTACTAAGGTATTATTTAACTTTATAGTAGGGTTGTGTTTTAGTAAACGCCGACTTACTATCTTAAAGATATTCCTAATATAGTACTCTACGAACTAAAGAAATAAGAAGCTATAGTAGGTAGTATCGTTTAGGATTAGACTTAACCTAACGAGATAGAAGTAGAGTATATATAGGCGTTAGCCGTATTAATATAGATATATATAATAACTAGTAGTTATAACTAAAATAGGCTAAATCGTAGTAGACTTACCTTACCTAGAGTAGGGAGTAGAATATAGGGTTAGAGTTAATTAAGCGTTATATATAGATCCTTTATTCCGAACTAGGAATATAGAATATAATAAAGGATAATATATATAGCTATATAATAACCCGACTATTAATTACTTAACTATTTAAACTATAGACTTACTAGTTCCTTATATACCCTACTACTAAGAATTGTAAGCTATCGCTAAGTCGTACGTAAAGAATCTCCGAGCTTCGTTCTCCTTCTCTCGCTTATAAATCTAATTAATCTTAAAGGCTCTCGAGTATTCTAATACTCCCTCTACTTACGAACTGGATCAACACTTACATGCAAGGTGTCCTCTCCCGCATCGCGAAGGTCGACAAGCGCATCCCACTCATGCTGCAGGATGCTTTTTTCTCGGCGATCCTACTAATACTATCGATCGAGAGTAATCCTAAGTTATCGCGAGGCGATCCTAAGCAATGCTAGCGATAGGATTAATCGACTTAATAATAAAAAAAACTATTTTATAGTATACTAAAAATATAAAATTTTTGTCGTATATTTTTAAGCCGTAAACCTTCTAGTTAAAAACATATAAGGAAAAGAAAAATCGCTTTTCTAGAAATTCTACTTCTAGCTTATTTTTTCCTAGTAGCTTTACGGCTTAGTAGTATAGGAGATAAGTACTCTAGTTTTAGTATATTATTAGAAAAAAATATAAAATTTCTAGACTTCCTAAGAAACTAAAGCTAGGAAAAAGAAATAAGTATTTTAGTATTTTAGTATTTTCTATCCTATACTTTACTATTTTTAGCAATCTTAGAAATCTAACTTAAAGCTCTACCTACTAATAGGGCGATTCTAGATCTTTAAGTTTTAATACCTAGTAGTATAGTAGGGAAACCTAGCTTAGTATAGAAATACACTTTTGTATCTTTTAATACCTATATATATAGAATAGATAAAGACACCTATAATAAGAAGATAGCGGTAGATATATATAAGAACAATACCTTATCCCGCTATAATATAGCCCTAGTTACTATCCTTCCCTTCTTATTAATAATTACAATACGGCGCTTTAAAGGTATATAGAACTACGTAGGCCCCTCGTAGTTACCTAGGATATATTAAATATATAGTATATAGTATATAGTTCCCTATATATATACCTCTACCTACGACCTACTTATCCCTCCTATAGTAGTTTTCTTAGAATCTAGAAAAGAATCTCGAGTACCTCGAGTATACTTTTTAGAAAGTTCTAACTTCTACTTATTTAGCGTCGGCTTTTAAAAAAAACCTTAGCGTAATCTCGGTTACATTTAACGAAACCTTAACGAAAAAAAAATTATTTATAGAAAACCTATAAAAGCCCTAAATTTTATTAATATAAGTACGTAATACCCCGAAATACCTTATAGTAGTATATAGTCGGCCTCTAAAGTTAGGCTCTAAGTCCCGCGTCCTTTATATAGTCCTTAGCCCTATACTCCCTCGAAGATCGGGATAGCCCGCCCCGGAAATCGCTCGCAATTAATAGGATTAATAAAATCTTTACCCTACGATTCTAAGAATCCTAAGATATCCTATTTATAGGATCGTCGCGATTAGGAAAAAGTTTTCGTAACGACTTCCCTTTCGTTAGCGGTTTAGTTAAGAAGTCCGCGAGTTAGTCCTTTATAAGAATATACTTTATATTAACTAGCTTATCCTCGACTAGTTCCTATATATAGTATACCGCTACGTCGATATATTTAGCTCTAGTATAACATTTCGGATTTCGTACTAAAGCGATAGCCGCCTTATTATTCCCGTAGATAGTCGTCGGTTCTTTATAGTCGTTTTCCGTAAGGTTACTAACTTAGTCGAGGAAATTCTAGATCTAAATAGCATCCTTCGCGGCGTAGGATAGCGCTAATTGTTCGGCTTCCGTTATACTAGTCGTAATAGACCTTTATAGTTTAATAGACTAAGATATAGGTCCGCCGGCTAATAGGGTTATATATCCTATTATTAACTTCCTACTCGAGTCCGCCGTATAGTCCGAGTCGGTATAGATAACCGGTAGATAAGTAACTAAAGTACTCGTTTCGTTTTCGTTCTTCGGAATAGGACTATACCTTATATAGTAGTTGCGAGTGTTTCCTAGGTATCTAAGGCCGTAGATCGTAGATAGCTCTATCGTAGTATCTTCTAGCTAGGTTTATTAAGAACTAACTTAGTCGTTACGTTAAGAAATAAATATCCGGCCTACTAGCTCGTACGATCTATCTTAGTTTCCCGATATATCGTTAGTAATTACGGATATCTATTAACTTCCCGTCTTTTATAGTAGGTAGTAGATTCGCGTATCCGTTTACTAGAGTTAATACTTAGAAGGCTTCGTCTAGATCTAAGCCTTCTTCCCTAAGCGTACTTTCGATATAGTACCTTTAATCTAAGAGTATAGACCCGTCGGCTTCTGTTTCGATTCTTACGCCTAATATAGCCTTACTAGGACCTAGATCCTTTATTTCGAGCTACTTTATAAGCCCGTCCTTTAGCGGTTTATCTTCCGCTTCTGTTTTTACTAGTATAATAAGATCGTCGACGTATAGCGCGACTATTAGCGTATAATTGCTATTAACGAAGACCGATTAATCCGCGGATCTAGCGTAGAGGTTATATTCTTTAAAGAAAGCCGTAATTGTCTTACTCTAAACTCGTTCGGATTGTTTTAGTCCCGCTACTCCCTATAGGAGTTTAAGTATCTTATTACTTCCGGGAACGTCTACTTTTTCTAGGATAGCTAGATAGGCTTCCTCCGTTAGTTCTCTAAGTATATAGGCACTTATTATATCTATTTAGAATATAGTAAGTCCTTTACTAGGGGCGATAGCTAGGAGAAGGTAGAGGCTTTCGAGACGTATTACTAGAGAGAACGTTTTAAAGTAATCGATTCTATAGCGTTACGTAGAGCTCTTTCCTACTAATCTCGCCTTAAACTTATCGACTTAACCGTAAGTACTATTAGCCGCTAAGGACTTAATATAATCTTTAATAGTATCTTTCTATTATAGGGAGTAAGGGCCGCTAATAGCTTCTATATAGGTCTCGGTAGTAGGTATTTTAAAG